CGGTCATCGACTATCAGTCATAAGTTTATCATCAAAAAATGTTTTTATTTATTAAATTAAATATAATAAAAGACCAATATTAAAAATGATTATGAAAATTATAAAAAGAATATCTATAAAAGAATTTATAAATCAATTTGAATGAAATATATTTTTAATGATGTAAATGTTGTTTTTCTCTTAACTTTCTTTAAAAAGAAAATAATGTAAATCTTTTACACGCCACTTGAACTATATTCTACATTTTTTTTGAATTAGATATAACTAAATTGAAAATTGAAAATATAATCTAATCTAACCTGATGTTATGTTTAAAAGTTTACACCAATTATATATGAAAATTAAATTGAATAATTGATATTAATTTATCTAAAATATTATTTAAAAATCAATTATGTTTAAAGTGATATTTCATGTCCAGCAGCATAGTGACATACACTATACACTGTTCCATTATCACTAGAATTTTATTTTTAGAATGAATTTATGTAGAGTTATTAACATTTGATATCAAAGTTCATAAAAAAAATCATTATTGTATAAATTGATTAAATCCAATTTTTTATTAAATAATTTAAAAATTAAAATTTAATTTTTATAAATAAATAAATAAAACATTGCGGAATCAAACAAAGTTAGAGGATATATATTTTGTGCAATATTTCCCCACCCCTTACCATTATTTTATCCATATTCAATTATAAATAAGAGGCATCACTTCCTTACAAATACTCTGCATCTCAATCTCACTCTTTCCCTCTCAAATAGAAACTATGGAAGAGCTTCATTCAGTTTTCATATACCAAGAGGAACAGGTATGTTATTGAATATTTTATTTTTCTAAGCTTATAATTATTCTTCCTCGCTATGCTCTTATTTCATTTTTAATATGCGCATCCTTAACGAAATTTATTTCATTTTATTTTGTATTTCTCTTTTATATATGTTATTTTATTTCAGTGTCTAATCTCTTTTGTTTCAGCCACTAAACCAATTTCACAGTCTGTTTTTTTGTGTGTTTGATTAAACATTTTACAATTGTTAAATGGAGTGGATACATTCTAAACATTTTGCAATTGTATCTCTCTTATGTGTTTCTTTATATAAAATCTATTTCTCGCAATTTTTTATGGACCCATTTTAATATTCAATCCTTATTTTAATAATAATAATAATTAATTATTTATGTAATTTTAAGAAAATTAATGTTTTCCTTATTTAAAAAGGAAGGTTCTTATTATTGATCAATTTTTTCCTTAAAAGTTGTATGAGATTATTTTGACATATTTTCTAATTATAGCATAAATATTTATTAAAATAAATTATTTTTATAAATAAAATAAGATAAAATATTTATTTTGGTCCTTTAATTATATTTTTTGATTTAAATTGGTCCTAAGCGACCCATTTTAAAATTTTCCCATCGCTAATTAGACAAAAAAAAATTAAAATAAAATATTTTAAAAGTTAAGGATCATACTAACACGAAAAAAAGTTAAAATACCAACGTAAACTCAAGAGTATAGTTAAAAAATCAAAATGAGTATTTTATCGTAAAGTAAAATAAACTTAAATTATTTTTTTATGTAAGATATAAATTATCCTCTATACAAATAATTGAAATATCAATTTTTTATTTATTTGATTTTGCAGAGGGAGCATGATCAAAAACATAAACTGATAGACACAATACTTGAACTAGAAGCAATGAAAAAGATGAATAGAGAACTCAACAATCAACTCAAAATAGCTTATCAAGAAAGAGATGAAGCTAGAGATCAGCTACAAAAACTAAAGAACAAGTTTTGTCCAATTGATTTCCAACAAGAAAACCCTTTCATGTTTCATTCATCGAAACCAAATTCTAGTATAACAGATTCTAGTACTCTTTCCTACAGTTCACCCTCGTCGGTAGATTCGTTCTTTGAAACGGCTTCATCATCTATGTTTTCAAACACTAGTATGGGATATCTCAATCATCATCCAGGTCAAAGTTTTCATTATTTGATGGAACCTATTGAAGAACAAGTTCATGATTTTGGAAGTGAATATATAAATTCTATTGCTAAGGAAAGAGTTTTGCCTCAAAAGGGTAAGCTTTTAAGATCTGTGATTGATGCTGGTCCTTTGCTTCAAACTATTCTACTTGAAGGAACACTTCCTAGGTGGAGAAATCCACCACATTTGCAAGACATTAATAATGTTAATGTTACTTCCATGCTTAATCTTGCTGGTAATCATCTTCCTGGTTCGTCTAACAATTCTTTGAAGTATAATTGATCACTATTTGTTATTTGGTTTAAACTATATTTAATTTTTTGTTGAAGGTTACTCTTTTACGCGTTTGCATGTTAAGAGAATCTAAATGATTAATCCTTGAAATATACTTTGTTACCTTATCATTATTTCTTCCTATTGGGTTCTTACTAATAAAATGTGTCAACTTAAGAAACATAACACCATTCAATTGAACCAACATGTAAACTAAATCAATAAACACAACATATATAACATTTCTTAACTAAACTCACTAACCCCAGAGACATCAAGAGTTTTAAATGACATTTAGTATAATACATGAATTTGAAATGAGATTTATGAAATTTCATGTGGATTTTGATACAATGAAGTGGGATTCAAATACAATGTAGTAGGACGTAAATAAGAATTTAGACAAATAAAATTATTTCTAAGTCATGTTAAACCGGTTGAACTGGATCTATTTTGAGGACCCGCTCAATCTCATTTTTCTTCTAAAACATGTTAATTTTTTCAAATAAACACCCTTAATTCTACTCTTCCTTTTCATCTTCCTCTTCCTTCTTTTTTTCCTTCTTTTTGTTGATGTTAATTTGTCATTGAAGATGAGTCGTAAAGTTTAAGGATCATGTTTACAAGTGGATTTTAATCTCATTAAGATAATGAAACCTTGATTTGATTTAGTTCTACTTGAGTTCTGATTTATTTAATTTTTTGAGTAGATGTTAGAACATGGAATCACAAACTTGATAAAAATAGAGTAATTGAGTGTGGAGAGGGAGAGAGTGAGAGAGAATTAGAGAGAGTATAATTGAGAGTGAGAAATACACATTTATTCATACGTACATTCTCGTTAACTCTTTTCTCGAACACTGGTACTTGAGAATTTTGAGTAAATTTACAAAGATGTGAACACACTAAATCGAACCACAAAAGCTACAATTTATAGAACTTCGACCCAAACAGTCTCTTAACAAACTAATGTCAAGTTTTCGCTGGCATGTCTTCGACAATCCAAGAGATTCCATGCGTCCTTTTGGATAAGAATGAATATTCGAATTCAAACCTTTCGTTATCCGTCTTGAGCGCCAAAACCAATAAAATTTGATAACGGTCGAAGTATAAAGTCTTAAACCATGTTTCGAATAATAACTTTATTTCGCAATTCGAATTATAAACTATCCATCAATCTCTTAACGAATTTCGAACTCGAATCTTCATGGCTTTTAACAAACAAAATAGTCAAACAATTCTCTAAGTATATTCAGACCATTGACTCAGCTCAATTTCTCCTTAGTCTAAATTTTCAGCCAACAGATGAATCCTTAAACAACACAAGGGTCACTATGAATTTGCTTGAATCTTCTTGAATTTTTCTACAGTTTATCTATAAGACTATAAAATAACGCTTCTGAGAGGCAGTCCAGTTTAACTTTTATTTTAGAGGTTGGAATCCACCCTTTAAAAATAAACAAGTGAGATATTGTGGGTTCGAACCCGCAATCCAACACTTGATGTCCTTACATAGTTATCAACTGAGTTAACTTAACAGATTTGTTTTTCTTTTATTTAATTAAAAATAGGAAGAAAATAACATTTATATTATATATTTTTTTATTAAAAATTAATGTGTCTCGATAAAATATAATATATATTTTTTTATTTGAGCAACCTAATACCTTATTTAAATCATTTATCTTAAAATCGTTTTTAAATCAAAGATAACAAAAGACAAATATTATTACAAAATTAAAAAAAAATATTTACTATACAATTTTAAAAATAAGTTTGGATGAAATAAATTTTTAATAATGTTAACGATAGATTTCTATTAACTTCTCACCAAAAATCATGTAGAAATATTAATTGATGAGATTAATTTGTAGAAATATATATATATATATATATATATATATATATATATATATATATATATATAATATATATATATATATATATATATATATATATATATATATATATATATATATATATATATATATATATATATATATATATATATATATATATATATATATATATATATATATATCATGCATACAAATTTATAAATAAAATTGAGAAAATCGTAATCCTATTAAATTACTTTTAACATGTATTAATATATTAATCCTTACTGTTATTAAAAACATGAAGATATGAAATTGAAAGGGAAGCTTGTAATTTTGATTATATGTAATAATTAGAAAGAAAAAGAATATTATATTAAAAAAATTGAGAGCGTCATTTATTGTAGGATCTAAAATATACCTTAATGTGATTTGATTAATATATACTAAATCTTTGATTGATTTCAAATCACCCACTAAAATATTATGTATCCAACTCATTAATTGTTATTGTTATTACTAAAAATTCTTATGTATAAATAAGTGCAAATCAAATCGAAAAGGTGCAAATTATGGAAGAGCATAATTCTATTTTCGTTTACCAAGAGGTATGTTCTTACATCTATTTTAACGAAATTTATCTATAAACTTTTTTTCCTTTTATTCCATCGTTATTTTTCTATCTTTTAACGAAATTTTTAATGTTTATTTTCATGTTTATTTAATTATCTTCATAAATTTAATTTAGGTGTTTTGAAATTTTGTTGATTGATTTTTCAGCCGGAGCATGAACAAAAGCAAAAGCTCTATGACACAACACTTGAACTTGAGTTAGTGAAAAACATGAATACCGAACTTTACAATATGCTGATGAAAGTTCGTCGAGAAAGAGATGAAGCTAGAAATTTACTACAAAAACTATTGAACAATCGTTTTCCAATTGAATTCCAACAAGAAAATTCTCTAGGGTTTCTTCATTCTTCAATATCAAGTTCAAACATTACACATTATGGTAGCTTCTCACATTGCTCTCCATCATCTTCTTCTTCACCTGAATTTCCAAACACTAGCATGAGCCATGTCAATCATTATCATAACCAAAGCTTTAACTATTCCATGATGCCTATTAAAAGATCGGTTTGTGATGATGATTATGGAAGTAGGTATATAGATAATATTGCTAAGAAAAGAGTTTTGCCTCAAAAGGGTAAGCTTTTGCAAGCTATGTATGATGCTGGTCCTTTGCTTCAAACTATTCTAGATGATGGGCACCTTCCTACTTGGAGAAATACACATTCTCAAGATTTTAACTCTAATTTTCGAAGTCAAGTCGATTCGATGAAGCGCCAAAAACATAAATAATTGTTATTTTTCTCTCCACAATTTTGTTACAAGAATTTCAACCACTATGTGGTATCTTTGTTGAGTTCAAACTTTGTTAACGAGATTCATTCATATAACATCGAATTCTATCGGTTGTGTTAAGATTTGTGGTCTGACACTGTTTTTTTTTTATTTTTAATTTTAATATTTTTAAACAATTTTAATAATTTATTGTGATATTATTTGAAAATATTTACTTTTTGATTATCTTGTCAATAGAATATTTTATATTATATTAAATTTTGTGATGAAATGTTTCTATATGATTTAGAGTTTGTTTGGATTCCGGCATATTTGAGTTTATGTTATATCATAAGTATTTTATCTAGTGATAAACAATATAGTGAACTTTTATCAACAAAAGAGGAACGTTTAGAAAATTAGTACAGGAGAGAAGCAACCAAAAAGAGATCAAACCTAACTTTTTTTTTATAAAGAATGATTCAAACCTAACTTTAATCAGTTATACTATTGTGATATACACTTATCATTTTATAAAGAGTAATAATATTTGAACATTTAAAAATTTAACCCATCATATAAGCAGGTATAAATATATATATATATATATATATATATATATATATATATATATATATATATATATATATATATATATATATATATATATATATATATATATATATATATATATATATATATATATATATATATATATATATATATATATATATATATATATATATATCTAAAACAAGTATTAATTTAATAAATATAATAAAAAATATTATTTTTTATCGTATCTGATCAGAATGGATCGTCAATGACCCACAAACTTGAACTGACGGAGGTTGAAAGTGAAGTGGGAGATACTTGCAAGGCGCTTTGATGCCAAAGTAAAGTACAGAATAAATGCAAGTATTGAAAGAGTGTAGAATAATGTATATGACCCTCTAGTAAAAGAGGGTATTTATAGTCCTCAGCGTTGGGCCAAGGCCTTCATTATGGGCTAAAGATCCAGGCTTATAACGAATAGCTGTCAGGATTCACGCGTGTGAAGTGGAGCAGGGCGTGCCCACAATCCTAGTTCAACTTCCCTGCCTTCTTCGGATAGTGGAGGATTAATTCTTCAGAGGACAAGAGGTCCAGTGATAGTCAGAGGGCAGTTGATCACGTGCTCATGGAGGCACGTGGAGGAAACGTCCCCCAACGGTTATGAGTTTGGCCATATCGTTGGGCCTTCTTCGAGAGAGAGCATCAGACTAGGCCATGCCCTTTGCCAAACGCAGGCCCAGTCCAGAACAGGAGCCCCCCAAGTCGTTCCTCTTAAGTAGGAGTTATGACTTATAGGGTAACTCACGCGTCTAGGAGGTAGTGGCTTTGAGCCGACTTGTGAATCGAGGATAGGGTCCAGTTTCTGCCGCGCTTGCCAACCTGGGTTAGCAGCTCCTAGACATTGCTCGCGAGAAGATCAGTGTCAACATCGTCGAACCGCAGACGTTATGTCGACAATGTCCTTCGCGGGTGGTTACACTCGACTGCGGAAGATAATCACGTTCTCTGTCAAGGTAACGTTCATCACTGAGATGCGTCGAAGGCCCGTGGTTCCATCGCTCGACGGCGACACATGACATTTGGGTCTCATGGAAGCGCTCAGCAGAGGAAATATGGAAAGTTCGCTGCGTGGATTCGACTCGGGGATATGTAACAGTGAGGTTGTGTTTGAGAATTTTGCCCGACGTAAGGTATGAAGAAACTGTCGAGGAAATATGGTGAAGTATATTGTTTTCTGTCCATTTGAGGTTTCACAAACGAGGGCCACACTTACGGCCTCGACTGAGACGGTCAGGTAGAGGAACAGAATTTCCCCGTTCTCTGGTCGTGAGAGCATGGGTGGCTCCGAAAGAGCTTGTTTGAGGTGGAGGAGGGCTTTCTCACATTCCTCAGCCCATTCGAATAAGGCCTCTTTGCGTAAGAGTTTGAAAAATAGGAGTGCATGTTGCGCGGACTTTGCCACAAAGTGGGAGAGCAAGGTTAGCATACCGTTCACGATTTGTATGGATTTTTTCGAGTTTGGCATAGGGAGCTCGGAGAAGGCCCTGCACTTGTCTGGTTGGCTTCGATCCCTCGTTCGGTCAAGTAGAAGCCGAGGAACTTGCCTGCCTTAACTTTGAAGGTGCACTTCTCTGGTTGAATCTCATTTTGCATCGCCTTGCTAGGTCGAAGACTCTTTTTAGGTGGGCCGCATGGTTGGTTTCTGCTCAATATTTAAAGATCCTTTCATCCATGTACACCTCGAGCAAGTCCCCGATATCACCGTGGAAGAATTTGTTCATCATTCATTGGTATGTCACGCCCTCATTTCTCAGGCCGAAGGGTATTACGTTGTAGTAATAATTGTTTGAACCGGTCATGAAATTCGTGCACTATTTGTCGCTCATCGCCATGGGGATTTAATTATAACTTGAATATGTGTCCATAAATGATTAGAGCTTATAGTCGGCCGAGTTGTCGACCAGCATGTCAATATTAGGTAGAGGATATACATCTTTGGGACATGCTCGGTAGAGATCAGTATAATCAACACACATACTCTATTTTCTATTATTTTTATTAACAAGTACAACGTTGGAGAGCCAGGTTAAATATCGGGCCTCAGAAATAAAATTTATCTCTAGGAGGTCTTTTACAGCTTTTCAACAGCCTCCGCTTTTTGAGGAGGCTGCTTACGCCTATGTTGAACTATTACCCTAGCGGTATAATCTACAACAAGCTGGTGGTAGACGACCTCAGGATCGAGTTCGGGAATTTCTATAGCGCTCCACATGAACAAATCAGCATTCATCCTCATACATGCTTAGAGCTGCTTCTTTGCCAGATCGAGGAGTCCAGCTCCAATCTTCACGCCTCTGTTTGGGTCTTCGCCGAGGGGGTGATTTTAAAGTTTCCATCGCTGATAGGACGATGGGAGTCTTGTTCGCCATTGGGGACTTCGACTTCATCTTTGGTGAAGCGGGTATCGAGTTTAATGGAGCCAACATTAGGTGGAACCTACCGTTCTTCAGTCTGAGTGGGCTTGTCTGTCGAGGAGGTTGTTCCGCTGGAAACTCTTGGCTTTGTGTCAACCATGTTTTGCCCCTTTGAGGCTGCATTGAAACATCTTCTCGCAGCTTCGATGTCCCCGTGGATGGTGGCGATACGGCCCCTTTTCATGTAGAACTTCATCTTCAGGTGGACCGTGGAGGGTACGACAGTCAGCTCGGCCACCGTGGGCCTTCCCAAGATGCAGTTGTAGAGAGAGGGGAAGTCGACCACTAGGAAGCAGACTTTGACCTGTCCGGCGGCAGCTTCTATCCTGAATGTGACGAGCAGCTCAATATAGCCCCATGGTTTAAAGGTCTATTCATTAAATCCTTGTAGGTAGGATCTTACGTATGGTGACAATTGGCTCCTGTCGAGCTGGAGGGTCTGGAACAGTTGAGTATACATGATGTTTATAGAACTCCCTTCGTCGAGCAAGATGCGGTGCACGTAGAAGTTGGCCATCTTTGCTCTCACGGGCAAAGGGATGTTCGAGTTAGGAGCTTCACCAGGCATTTCCTCGACGTAGAAGGTGATAGGCTCGGATTTTCCCTGGAACCTATCAAAGGTCACTGTCTGGGTTGGGGCTACATCTATCAGTTTGTTAAACTTTCTTTTCGCCGAATTCACATAGAACCCGCTGAATCCCCTTCTGGATATGACCATGGCGGAGGGAAATTTTTCCCGTCTACTATGGGTAAATAAGGGATCCTCGCCGTCGACGCTGTCGAGGATGTAGAAATCCTCAAGCCGAGAAACTCACAAAGCAACTTAGAGGGGGGCCAGCCTTGTTGGTGGGTCGTGTCTCCTTCTAGATCTCTTTCACTTTGAGATTGTCATGGCGAGGGGTGTCGTTCCTTTTGTACTGCCCAAGCTGTCTTGCCTTGATGGGGGTCTCGATGGCGTCCTTCAGGTGGATGCATTCCTCAGTAACATGGCCTTGCCTCCGATGGTACTGGCAGTATTTGGTCATGTCGACCCCGGGCTTGAGATGTGTAGGTTTAGGTCCTCTAAGCCCACCATCCTTGAACTCAACATTGGGGCACTCTGCAAGGATACGCTTGCGGATAGCGGTCAGCGGGGTGTACTCTGTGAAACATCCAGCTGGACCTCTGTACTCGTGAGGACCGTGGGGTTTTTCATCCTTTTTCTTATCCATGGCTCATCGAGATGGCCCTGTGTCGTTGTATCTCGGTGCACAAAGTGTTCTACGGTTCCTAGAATCGCAGGCGTTGTTGGCAGCCTCCTTCTCTTCGTATGTGATGTAAGTTCGGGCTTTATGGAGGAGTTCGTCCAATGATTTGGGAGGCTCGATATCGAATTCCTTCCTGAAGTCGCTGCCCGAGAGAATCCCCCTTCGAGCAGGCACCTCTTCATGCGGTCGGTAGTGGGAACTTAGATGGCCTCGCGATTAAACCTCTCAATGTATGCTCGGAGAGGTTTGTCGCTCCCTTTGATGATTGCCTCAAGGGACGCCTCAGTCTTGGGGTGCCGTCGAGAGGCTATCAAGTTCCTGGCGACCTGTTTCTTCAGACTCTTCCACAAGGTGATGGACTCGGGGGCGAGGCTTTTGTACCAATCCATGACAGTTTTCCTCAGGATTGTGAGGAATAACCTGTACTTGATAGCACCCCCGACGTTGTGGAAATGGAGCATTACCTCAAATCTCTCGAGGTGGTTGTTAGAGCCTATAACGCCATCATAGTTTTTCAAAGGTGGAGGTTTATCCATCCCCTTAGGAATAGGGGCCTCCATAATGGCTTGGGTTCGTCGCTTTGGTCTGGGGATCGAGACTTGGAAATATCAAAGTGGTGGTCTCTACGACGTGGAAAACTCCTTTCCCGAGTTCTCTTTTCCTCCTCCTTGCCCTTGCTCCTCTAATGAACAAGGGATCGTCTTTATTTTCCCGGTGGAGTGCGATCGCGCTTCTTGACGATTTCAGGTTGGATCCTCTCTAGTCGAGGGTCTCGCCTAGTGCGACGAGTAGATGAGCTATGTGAATTCTCCCGTTTATGTCTCCGTATAGGAGATCATGAACGGGTTTCACGTCATCGTGGAGACGGGGTGCATGAATCATGTCTTTTGTGCCTCCTGGGGGAGCGTGGTCGACGGGCCTTCTCCCGCATTCTGAGGTGTTCACCCTGCGTGAAGATCATGTAATTGGTCTGATTGATTTACGCAAACAGGGCCTAGGTTGTAGGATCAGCATTGGCGGGCACCGGGATTTCATTGTACGCCACAGGCTTGTCGGCGTGTCGGTGAGGATTGTCGAGCAGGTGCGAGAGGATGGAGGAAGAAGCGGTTCCTCGTCCTTGTCGTCGTGCTCGCGAATGACAATGTTGTTGATATTGTTGCCAACATCGGTGAAGTGAACATGCTGGTCACCGTTGTTGACTTGATCGGTCATGACGATCCGGAGGTTAAAAGTGTTTGCTTTGGTCTTAAGTTAGGAAAAGAAGGGGAAGCATTTAGTTCCCACAGAGGGTGCCGCTGATCATACCTGATCATAATGGATCGTCGATGGCCCACAAGCTCGAACTGAACGGCAGTTAAAAGTGAAGTGGGGGGTACCTACAAGACACTCTGTTGTCGAAGTAAGGTTCAGAGTAAATGCAAGTATTGAAAGAGTATAGAATAATGTACCTGATCCTCTAGTGAAAGAGGGTGTTTATAACCTCCAGCGTTAGGCCAAGGCCTTCATTATGGACTAAAGATTCAGGCCCATAACGAATGGCTGCCAGGATTCACGCGTGTGAAGTGGAGCAACACGTGCCCACGACCCTGGTTCAACTGTCATGTCTTCTTCAGATGGTGGAGGACTAATTCTTCAGAGGACAAGAGGTCCCGTGATAGTCGGAGGACAAATGATCACATGCTCATGGAGGCACGTGGAGGAAACGTTCTCCAATAGTTATGAGTTGGATCATATCGTTAGGTTTTCTTCGAGAGAGCTTCGGACTGAGTCATGCCCTTCAGTAGATCAAACGCAGGTCCAATCTAAAACAATTTTAATAACACAATATAAATATAATTTTTACAAAATTAATATAATAAGAAAAAATTCTTAGGCAATGATGTTAATAGAAAATAAATATTTAATAACGAAATTAAATCTAATTTTTTTTTATAAAAAAAATTGATAGCTAAGAAATCACACTACTTAACCTTAAATTTTGTACTAATACAATGAAAGTTTATACAAAGTGTAGATCACTCGACATAATTCTATTGATTTGATCCTAAAATAATTTTTTTTCAAATATTTGCTTTATTGATATTTTTTATATATGAATCTTACAATGAGATTTTAAAAATAATTCATAATTATATTTTAAAACTAACATTAAAATTTTTATCTATAGTTTTCATATAAATACTAAAAAAAAATACTAAATTTTAATTGATTTCAAATCACCCACAAAAATATTATGAATCCAAATATTGATTGTTATTATTATTGTTAAAAAAAATTATGTGGCACATTTATAAATAAGAGGTATTTCTTCCTACATTTTAAAGCAATGCCTAAATTTCAGTCTTATCTCATCCA